GTAAGATGTTAATAAAATAGGACAAATTGTGTTTGTGTGGGGAAGGGGATGGTATACGGAAAGTCTCTAAGTCATCTGCTTAATTTTTGCATAACTCTAAAATGGATCTTTAAAAGTAAGTCTATTAATAAAAAGGTAATTGTTTAACTCTAGCTGGTGTGGGTCTGTGGGTTGAGCATCGGCTAGTTTGGTTCCCAATCAGGGCACATTCCTGTGTTGGGGGCCACGTCTCCAGTTGGGGATGTGCAAGAGGCAATCAATTGATGTTTCTCTTTTTCTCTTTTTCTCTCTCTTCCCATCTCTCTAAAAATAAATAATAAAATCTTTTTTTAAAGTAATTATTTAAATGAAAATTAATAACTGTATTTGGAGGGTTGTTAGATAAATAGAAATAAAATATATGACAACAATGGCATAAAAGCCATGAAATGAGAAACAGAAGTATGTTGATACAAAGTTAGTGGTATACTTGAAAGTACATGATGACATGTTAAAGGTGCATATGTAAACCCTAGAGCAAGCACTAAACAAGAGAGACAAAATAATACAGCTGACAAATCAATAGTGCAAATAAAATGGAATCCTAATATTACTTTAAGGTAAACCATGACAGGTTTAAGATGTATACTATAAACCCTAAAGGAAATATTGGGGGGGCAGGCGGGGGGGAGGCTAATTAACTGACAGAAGAGATAAGTGCTATTATTTAAAAAAACAAATTAAAAAAATAAACTCAATGTAAATTACAGAATAAAGATTTTTAAAAATAAATAGCACATGGAATAAACAGAAAATAAATACCAGGGTATTAGATTTAAACCCAACTATATCAATAATTACATTAAACGTAAATGGTTATCAGATTGGATAAAAAAGCAAGGCCAAAATAAATTCACTTTAAAGAAACAAATAGCCATAAAATAAAGAATGAAGAAAGATAAACCATACCAACACTAATCAAAAGAAAGCTGGAGTCGCTACCATAATATCAGAAAATACAGATTCCAGAGCAACAATTATTAAAAAGGATAAAAAGGGCATTTCATAATCATAATGGAATCAGTTCATCAAGAGTGTTTAACAATCTTAATGGTTTATATACCCAATTAAAAAAAATTCATAATATATGAAGCAAAAACAGAATTAAAAGATTGTAAAAGTATAGTTGGAGATTTCAATACCCTCTTTCATTAATAAAATAAGTAGACAGAAATTCAGTGAGGATACAGAAAACTTGAATAGTATTATGAATCAACTTGACCTAACTGACAATTTAGAACATTCCACCCAACAGCCACAAAATACACATTCAGGTATTTTGACCAAGATAGAGCATATTCTATGCCATAAAATAAGATCCAATAACTTTAAAAGCATTTAAATCATACAAATTATGTTCCATGACTAAATTATAAATCAGTATCAAAGGGTATTTGGAAAATCTTTGAATGTTTAGAATTATATATTGTTTTGGTAATATATGAGTCAAAGAAAAACTTAAGTATTTTTGAACCAAAAAAAGAGAAACTACAACATAGCAAAATTTGTGTGATATATCTAAAGCAGTCTTTGAAGGGAAATTATAGCACTAAATATCTGTATTATAAAGGAATAAAAGTCTCAAAATCAATGACCTAATCTTCCCACCTTAAGAAATTAGGAAACTTAAAATCAGAAATCAATGAAACAGAAACAGAAATAGAGAAAAACAATGATATCAAAAGTAGGTTCTCTGAGAAGATCAATAAAATGTATAAGCCTCTATCCAGATCCATCAGAAGAAAAAAAAAAAAGGATACAAAATACAAACAATACTGGAAACAAGAGGGCCCTATAAAATATGCCCATATTTTCTTTGATACTTCCACCTTCATGGGTTGGTGCCTTATTTCTCTCCTTTTGATAATGGGCTGCATTTGAGACCTGCTTCTAACAAACAGAATAAAGCAGAGTAAATATGTGTAACTTCAGAGGCCAGGCAAGAAAAAGCACTGCACAGCTTTCTGCTTGATCTCTCTGTCCTATCACTCACTAGCTAGTTGGTAGAAGCTAGCTGCCATGTGTCCTGACAGTCAAGCAACACTATGGAGGTCCACTTGGTGTACACGTGAGGCCTCCTAATCAAGAGCAGTAAAAACTGAAAGAAAAAAACAAAAACATAAACAAAACTGAGGCCTCCAGCCAATGGCTTTGTGAATGAGCAATCTTGGAAGCAAATCTTGCAGCTCTAGTCAAGTCTTTAGATAACTGACATCTTGGCCAACATGTTCTTCGTGAGAAACGCTGATCCAAAGCCATCAGCTAAGTCACTTCCTAATTCTTGTTCCACAAAAATGTAAAATAATAGATTTGTTTTTTTAAGCTACTAAGATTTAGAATAATTAGTTATGCAGCAAAAGATAACCAACATAAAGAGCACCATTACAGACCCTAAAGACATTGAAATGATAAGAGAATAATATAAGTACCTTTTAGCCAATAATTTAAAAAACCTAGATGAGTGAACAAATTCCTTGAAGAAAACAAACCATCAAAGCTCACTCAAGAGGAAAGAACAGCCTGATAACAGAGAAAAAAATCTTCTTTTAATCACACATGGATCACTCACACACCAAGGATCAATGAGTTCCACAGAGTAGAATTTTTATAAACAATACTGTCTAATCACAATGCAATAAAACTAAAAATTAATAACAAAATTAAAAATCACAAGACTTTCCATGAAACTTTTAAAATCTATTCTATTAGGTGCAGGGGAACTAAAAATTAAAACTACATAAGTTCTTAAAAATGATGATAAATCATTACATGATGATAAATCACTAAATAAGATAATTTTAATACAGTGAAATTTATATCAATAAAAAAGGGCTCTAATTGGCCAAATCAGGGACAATGACAATGGCAATGATGTAAGCATCAACATAAGGGAGATACTGATTATAACCTATTAAATAAATTATTTTTAAAATCCATGAGTCCATCCTGATATAAATAAATAAATTGGAAAGGGAATGCTTTATCATGGAATGCCAATTAGTTAATACAGAAGCAATGACAGAATTAGGAAATAATCTGGCAACCATCGTGGCATTAGCTGACACGAACAAGAGTCAATGGATGCTACACCCAGGGTGTATGTGTGTAAAAGTTTGATGCCTCAGAGTAGCTCTCTGAAAGTGTTTATTAATTACACAGGTATATCTGGCAGATGCCACCTTAAACGGGTGATCAAAGGTAACAATATCAATAACCAGACCCACTGATGTCATATGCCTTGAAAAGAACGCAACATTCTTTTTGGGGCATCTCTGCCAAATTGCACAATCTGAACTTAGTGATGAGGAAACATCACTGAAAACTCAAATTGAGGGGCATTCTACCTAATAACCAACCTATACTCTTAAAAAATGTCAAGTTCATGAAAAACAAGGAAAGACTAAGAAACTATTTCATGTTAAAGGTACAGGACAGCTAAATGTAATATGGTATCTTATATCATCAGATGGTAGGGGGCTAAAGTAATATAACTGAAACATTAAAAAAATTGAAAAGGAGCTCCAGATTATATCATGATCAAATATCTTGATTTTTCCCTGACAGGTGTTGCTTAGTTGGTTGGGCATCTTCCTACAAAGCAAATGGTCCCTGGTTCCATTCCTGGTCAGGGCAGACACCTGGGTTGCAGGTTTGGTCCTTGGTCAGTGAACACACAAGAGGCAGCCTGTCGATGTTTCTCTCCCTCTCTTTCTCCCTCCTTTCCCCTCTCTCTAAAAATAAATAAATAAAATCTTTTTAAAAATCTTGATTTTAATTAACTGCACTGTGGTTATGTATGCATGTGTCCTTGTTCTCATGAAATATGTCAGAAGTATTTAGAAATAAAGGGGCACTATGTCTGCAACTTAACCTCAAACGGTTCAGTACATAACATTCTTGGTGATAGGTAAAAGTTTCATGTAGCAAGTGATTTTGATAAGTCACTCAATATTTTGGAGAGGTTATTACGTTTTAAGGAATCTTCAAAACATGGTAAATCCCCTAGGAATTAAGGCCCCAATCCCCAAAGGATATTGTACCGGGGAGGGGCACGATGTTGAATGTAGTGGTCAGAGAACAAAGTCTATACTCAAAATTCTAACCTAAGACACCGTGGTACAAATGTAAAAGGGAAAAATCCAGGCGTGGAACCAGCCTGAGTGTAAGGGGTTCTGTTGTGATTATGGACAAGGAACTTAACCTCTCCATTTCCCCACGCTTTGATTTATTCAACTATGAAATGAGAATTTTTTTTTTTAATTTCTGCCTCAAAAGGCTGAGGATTGAGTGAGATAGTGTACTTGGAAAGCACTTTGTAAACTTCTAAATCCTGCACGTGTGCTACTATAAGTAATAACTCCACAAGAGAAGCTACTTGGAATCAGCAAACCTAATTAATTTTGTTGTCAAAATATCCTACAAAACATCACAACTAGATGTGGTCCGGTACACACGACCTGACAAAGAGCCAAAATGAGGTTTTCCTTCCAAATGTTCTTTCTTCAGGAAACACCAATATAATAATTAGCCGGGATTCCCATGAAAGGCCACCAGCCTTGGTGAATGTGGACGCCGTGAGAAGAAGTAGGCAAAAAACCCTCCAAAACCAAAAAAAAGAACAGTTTAAACGTGGGGCAGACGCTGAAGCAACTGAAAGGCAGCAACTGAAAGTGGGGAGGGAGACGGGGCGTGACACTTCGTCCCGCCCCGCCCACGCCGCGCGCGCTGTTCTCCGGGCGCCGGACCCCGCGCAGCGGCCCTTCCCCCGGCGTGCGGGCGCAGGCGCGGGCGCGGAGGTGGCGGCGGTTCTCCAACCTCCAGTCTCCGAGAAGTCATTACATGCTAACCCTTTCAATCCCCCGAAGTCCGGGCTCCTAACCCCTCTGGTCACAGGCTCGAAGGGGCAGAGCTGCGTCCCGAGAGGGAGGCTCTCCTAGCGAGACAGCAACATCGGCGAGTACCTGAGCAGTAATGAATCCTTCATACACGGTTTTCGATCGGTTCTGGGGCAGTAGCAACGGACACTGGTGCAACAGGCTCCCTTCCGTCTCCTCCATGGCCCACGGTTGGTGGAGCCTCTGGAGGCCTAGGAGCGGGCCCGACACCGCACATGCGCAGTACTGCTTAAGTAGAGGGAGCGGAGAGGCGGAAACCCCGGCATTGGCGGGAAAAAGCCTGCAGGCTGTTGGGAGAGAAGATGAAGGTCAGGGCTAGAGGGACCACCTGGGCTTGAGCCCGGCCAGAATAAATGTGACTCCTTAGGAGACAGCATTGGCCCCAGCAAGAGTCAGGAGGCGAGATTGTTCTCAGCTTCACAGGTCTGACTGAAAAGGGTCATTCTACCTCTGATTGTTAAAAGCACGCTTTTTGTAATTATGTTAGGTGTTATTAAAATGCTGCTACAACTTTTGAGTTGCATTTCATCCAATATGTGATGGTCTTACAATCTGAATGTTGTAGTACTTCTTTTATTCTGGAGCTGCCTCACCTCACCTTTTTTCACTATCATCAGTCTGTTACCTTGCTCTGCACCAGCGGTCCCCACCCTCGCAGCACAGGACCAGCCTTGTCTGGGCCTGGGTAGGAACAGGCCACACAGCAGGCGGTGAGCTTGAATGTAATGCACTTGGATCATCCTGAAACCATACCCCACCCTCTATGGAAAAATTGTCTTCCAGAAAACTGGTCCCTGGTGCTAAAAAGGCTGGGGACCACTGCTCTACAGGGTCTCCTGCATGCCTTCAGCATACAGCATAATATGTTATCCTGTGTATAATAATATATAATGTATTACATTCCATTCATTATATCATATACAATATATTACAGTTCTGTGGCTTAACAAATCTAATCAGATGTTTTTGTTTTTGAGAGACACACAAATATGCATGTACTGATCCAGTTTCAAGTCAACACCAGGCTGAGTTCTGATACACTGCCCTCAAATACAAATATCTTAGGCAAAACATGAGGATTACTGATGGACTTAATGAACCTAAGTTAACTTTCCTTTGACAGCACTTTTTATACATTTTTCTAACCTAGGCATGATAATCATCCATTGCCTTTTATGAGGAGTTAATTAAATAAGGAACTTACTGATATTTACTGCATGATTATTTAATATTCCAGTCTATGCATTACATTTTTGAGCCCTGATATTTGCAAAACGTCATTGTAAAATGTCTAGGCTATGCAAAGATGAATAAGATATACCCCCTCCCATCTTTATTACCCTCAAAATAGAATCAGACTGGAAGATTCTTAAAGTTTGATAAGAATCATCACAATATTCTGTGTAATTAAGGATAAACAAGGGTGGTACCGTAGTTAGATATAAATTACACTTAAGCAGTGGTTCTCAAAATGCGATTCTGGAACCAGCAGCATTACTGTCACCTGGCAAACGTATAGAAATGCACATTTTCACCCCTGTATCTCATATCTAGGGAATCCCAAACTCTGGGAGTGAGACCCCACCATCTGTGTTTTAACAAGCCCCTCCAGGTGATTATGATGGACGCGAAAGTCTTCCTCCGTGAAACCACTAGCCATTTTCAAAGTCCCCAAATTGTATCTCTTTTTGGAAACCTTTTTTTATCTACTGAAAATTACTGCTCTCCATAATTACTAAGTATATTTTCTGGTAAATTCTAAGTTTTCATTAACTATTTATTAAATTAAATACCCATCAGTCCTATAGGCAAAATAAAAGCAAGTATTTCAAGAATTCAGAGGATATTTGAGTTGGTTTCCATTCATGATATCTTAATAATCAGGCTATGTAGCACTATTATAGACTTTATCGGACTTATGTATAATACAATGAACACATGTAAAGCCCTTTCACACGTTATTTCATTTTCATTGCCATGCTGTTTAGGTATTTTTCATAATGTCTATTTTGTACACAAGAAATCTGAGACTTGGAGATATTAACTTGTTCAAGATAGTGAGTTAGTGACCTGTAAAATGAGGATTAACATCAAATCTAAATTTTAGATCCAGTAATCTTTTCATTAAAGTATGACAGAGATGAACTCCCTATCATGAAACGTAGATGAAGTTAACCTAAAGTTGTTAACGACTCATTTTAACAATGAGGCTAAGAATTTAACTTTGAAAGTTTGATATCAGATTTACCAATATTATGCATTCCTTCTTAATATAATCATAGCATTTTCTACCTAAAATCCACATATTGTGAAAAAAGAAAGCCTAAGAACATTTTGCCAATAGCTTTCTAAGGAGCTGAAGATTTTACATGAAAGCAACCTTAAAGATTTCATGCTTTGACACCCTCATTATATAAATTAAGGAAATACAGTCCAGAAAAGGAAAGTAATTTTCTCAAAGTGCTAGCTGTGTGTGTGTGTGTGTGTGTGTGTGTGTGTGTGTGTGTGTGTACATATATAAATATGAGTACAGAGAGAGACCAAACTGATACTGTTCTGGAGATACCTAACTAGGCCAGTTTCCAAACCTACAACTCCCTAATCCACACTGAGCTTTTGGTTAACTGACCAAATGTCTTTGGCTTTCTGGACTTACCAGCTTCTGGAAACTTCTTAAATAGCAATTTGGTCTTCCATGGACAGATACGCACCCATGTCTGGAGAGGCTATCTTCATCACACTCACTGGCCACCCCTCCACCGCTGATACACTGAGCTTGCAGCTAGCAGCCAAAGACAGTTGGCTCCTTGCGTCTGAATCCTCATGACTATCTCATTTGCCTTAAAGATTTTTACAAAATGTATTGCTGGATATTGCCTTAGTCCCTAAGGAAAACATATTCAAATCACCTTTCATAACAATTGAATTTGTAAATGAGCATTTCCTTTGGTAAAGTCTATAATCTAAGAAGTACAACTCCCAGAGAACGAGATACCATATTAGGGTTTTTTTTTTTTTAATTTAGAATATTTTATTTATTTATTTTATTGTTCTATTACAGTTGTCCTAATTTTTCCCCGTTGCTCTCCCCTGCCCTGCCCAACCCCAACCCCACAGTCAATCCCCACCTGTTGTCCATGTCCATGGATCATTTATACTTGTTCTTTAACTAGACTCTTCCCCTTCTTTCCTTCCTTATCCCCCTGCCTGCTCCCCTCTGGTCCCTGTCAGCTTGTTCCTTGTTTCTATACCTCTGGTTCTATTATGCTCATTTGTTTTGTTCATTATTTAATTCAGTGATTCAACCATTATCTTTAGGCGTTCAAGATTGAGTGATGGATACTCACTACCATCATCAATTAGGAGATGATTACCATAATCCAGAGAAGATGCTAAAATATAGTGATGGGAAGTGATATTAAGAAAGTAGAGATCCTGCCTCTCATCCCTCTTTCGGCATCTCTTCTTCATCCAGTTGTAACAGTTGCGGTTTCTGTTCCCTCTTCTCTGTAGTGCACCTCCTCTCAGTAATCCCATCTAGTCTATGGATATTACCCTCATGTTGCCGTGTATAATGCACATCCTTATTTTTCCCTCAAAACTTTGGGCAAAAAAGTATGCATTATACACAGCAAAATGCAGTAAATGTCAGCCATATACTGATGACTTCTAAATTCGTCTATCTCAGCCCCCTCTTCAGACTTGTATACCTAACGACTACATGATATATCCATTCTAGATGTCTTAATTGTCATCTCAAATTGTTTGTGTCAAAATGACCATTTTATAATTTCTAAAGAAATAATTGATTTAGGCAATGAGCATCAATAAATACTTAAATCATGATAGGAAAGGTTATGGTGAAATAAATATTCACATGCTGCAAAATTATCAATTATATAATGGTAGAATCAGGCTATATCTCCACCTGGTGCCTCTAATTAAAAGCTGGACACCTACACATTAAATGTCAACTGATGTGTTGTAATAAGAAGTCCAACACCAAAAATGTTTGATATCAATCTAATCAAGCTTTTTTTTAAGTATATCTTATTAATTATGCTATTACAGTTGTCCCATTTTTCTTCCCTTTATCCCTCTCTGCTCTGCACCCCTTTCCCACCAGCACTCCCCCGCTTAGTTCATGTCCATGGGTAATATATATAAGTCCTTGGCTTCTCCACTTCCTGTTCTATTCTTAACTTCTCCCTATTTTGTACCTACTAATATGCTTCTTATTCCCTCTACCTTTTCCTTCCATTCTCCCCCTACCCCTTCCCTGCTGATAACGCTCCATGTGATCTCCATTTCTGTGATTCTGTTCCTGTTCTGGTTGTTTGCTTAGTTTGTATTTTGTTTTTGTTTTATAGGTTCAGTTGCTGATAGTTGTGACTTTATTGTCATTTTACTGTTCATAGTTTTGATCTTCTTTTTCTTAGATAAGTCCCTTTAACATTTCATATAACAAGGGCTTGATGATGATGAACTCCTTTAACTTGACCTTACCTGGGAAGCACTTTATCTGCCCTTCCATTCTAAATGATAGTTTTGCTGGATGGAGTAATCTGGGATGTAGGTCCTTGCCTTTCATGACTTTGAATACTTCTTTCTAGCCCCTTCTTGCCTGTAAGGTTGCTTTTGAGAAATCAGCTGGTAGTCTAATGGGAACTCCTTTGTAGGTAACTCTCTCCTTTTCTCTTACTGCTTTTAAGATCTTCTCCTTATCTTTAATATTGGGTAATTTATTTATGATGTGTCTTGGTGTGTTCCTCATTGGCCCAATTTCTTTGGGACTCTCTGAGCTTCCTGGACTTCCTGGAAGTCTATTCCTTTGCCAGATTGGGAAAGTTCTCCTTTGTTATTTTTTTAAATGAGTTTTCAATTTCTTGCTCTTCCTCTTGTCTTTCTGGCACCCCTATGATTCAGATGTTGGACCGTTTAAAGTTGTCCCAGAGGTTCCTAAGCCTCTTCTCATTTTTTTGAATTCTTATTTCTTAATTCTGTTCTGCTTGAATGTTTATTTCTTCCTTCTGTTCCAAATCATTGATTTGAGTCCCAATTTCCTCCTCTTCACTGTTGTTTCCCTGTATATTTTTCTTTATTTCACTTTGCATAGCCTTCACTTCTTCCTCTATTTTGCATCCATACTCAATCATTTCTGTGAGCATCCTTATAACTGGTGTTTTGAA